TATAGTAATTTATATATAGAACTGCATCACGTTTCACTATGATCATTCTTCAGTTGACTGGAGAATCGTCAATTAAACGATTAAATGATTAAGAAAAATTTTAGGCAGTTCCAATATCTAATAATATTGAACTATATTTTTTTTCAATAATAATAAACTTGGCAATTTGGTTGGTGTATTAGTTTTAATCTTTGTTGCTCAATTTATCTGCTTTAAATAGTTTGTTTTCTAGATTTAGCCTTTACAGAGTTTTATTAAAAATTTAAATTATCTTTTTACTTAAGATTTTAGATAGGTTTTAGTTTTTTTAGTTTCTTAGATTTTTATATTCAATAGTTTTATTGTGTTTATATTGGCTCTAATATTGACTTGTATTCCTTTATACTTTATATAATATTATATAAATGCTCTAAACTCCTAGTTTTGTTATATGACTAAGTTACAAATATTCTAATCTGCCTAATTGATAAAAAACTGTATACTGTAATACAAATTATTTTTTGCTTCTAGAGAAAATCAAACATTATATTTGTTATCTTAAAGTGATAAACTACTTTCTTATAAGATGACCAACCTGCCAACTCTGCTACTTTGCTATATTTCTTTTTCAATATTTTAAATCTTCTAGTTTTTATATATAATTTTAGGTTTCTATAATACTATTTTATAATTAAAATCTCATATTACTACTTTAATATATTGTTATACTTAAAGCTAAAGCTTATTAACTAAATTAAATTAGCTTTCCTGCTTTAACTTCTATATAAAAACAGAACCTACTATAATCTTATATTTTACTAATATAAATATATCTACTACTAAATAATATTACTATATTGTCTTATTTAATATTATTGCTCTCTTATAGATTTATAACAATATAACTTATTAGTTATTTTTTAATCAAAATTCTGACTATTAATTTACCTTTTGTAGGATTTAAAATAATAATTTTGTAATTGGTAATCTCAGAATATAACTACTTCACTATTAATCTAGAGGTTTATAAAATTTTTTTGTAAAAAAATTTTATAAAAATATAAATTTACTAGATTAAATTTATAATTTTATCTGTATTAGAATTGTATAAATGTCTTTACAACTTTTAATTAAAAACTCAAATGCAGGTTACTTAGTAAAAAATTGAATCTGCTTTATAGTAATAAATATACATGCCACCAAAATAGATTTTCAAAAAACCCTATTTCATCTTCATTAAAGCAAATTAGAATTTTTTATATGCAAGAACAAATCTAATTTAGGTAGTTATGTTCCTTATAATTTCGTCTTTTCAAAAAAAGTGTCAAAAAATTTCATCTTTTAAGTAAAATAGATCAAAAACAATTTCGTCTTCAAATTTAATTTCATACCCCGAAATCTAAAATAATTTTGTTAGCATGTATAATTACAACAAAGCTATTAAATTTTATTTATATAATTACAAAATAAGTTAAGAAAAATACTATATAGCATGAACTATAGTATTTCAAATATGATATATTCTGTAGCTAAAATCTAAATTAATACTTAGATACTATACAAGAAGTATATTTTACATAATATAATATATATTATATAGTAAATATCCAAGTACTATATTTTATTCTATAAAGAATCTAGATATTTTGTATTTAATTACAAAAATTTTTATAAAAAATACTTTGATATAAAGGTATTATTAAGAAATTTTTTAAGCTGATAGGTTATAATTACTAATAATTAATCAATTATTATCAATTAAATTTAATCGATAAGAACTGATGGTAGTAATTGTAATCATCAGATATCTTTATCAATTTTAATTGATAATATTACTAATCATTAATTTACTATAAACGATTATTATCAATTAATTTTTATTGATAATTTTTAATAAAAAATTAATCAATAATAATTATAACATTATCAATTAAAATCGATAAGGATATCTGATGATTACAATCACCATCATCAGTTTTTATCGATTAAATTTAATTGATAATAATCAATTAATTGTTATTAACTAGGAATTCAGTATCTGATAGAGGTTTGATGTGAAAAAATGCATTTACTATATATATATACGTATATTAAAATCTTTATATATAACCTAGAGAACTATCTACTATTAAATGAATTATACTGACTGCTGATTATCACAAGAACCTGCATATTTTGATTTTTATTGGCTGGTTCGAACTAATATTGCATGATCATACATTCACGTCTGCTCAAACAATTGAGTCCTCACTATGCTTCGGACAATCATAACCTATTAGCTTAAAAAATTTTCTGATAATGATAGTTATCAATTTTTATTTAAATCAATTCTTATTATGAATAATAATTATTAATTGTTATCTGATTAATTTTTATTACAAATGATAACTATTGATTTCTATCTATATCAATTTTTATCGATATTTATCATATAAATGATAACTATTAATTTTTATCTATATCAATTTTTATCATATATATGATTATTATCGATTTTTAATCTATATTGATTTTTTACAACAGTGGTGTTACTAATCAATTAATATCTTTAAATTATAATTGATACTTATTACTCTAAAAAGTTTACTGATGTATTATAGTCTATACTATATAGTAATATCTAATATATTAAGCTTATTTCTATTTAATAAAAGTATTTGACTTAATATTTAATAAAAAATATAATTAATATATATAAAGTGGCATACCACCCTAATTTTTTGAGGCAATGGCATGCCACTGGCATGCCAGTAGTTATCATGCCAGGTTCTCTAGGTGGAGGTAAGTGCTTATAGCAAATTGATATCTCTTTAGATAAAATTATAATTAAAAACACTAATAAGATTATAATGTAATTATTGTTATACAATAAACATAACTAATAATTTACAAATAATAAATTTAATTGGCTAGTAATCACGCGAATACATTTATAAAAAGTTTTTATAAATAAACCAAACAATTAATATACACTTACAGAATAAAGAATATGCATCTATCTATAAGTTCCATTGGGGGAATCTGACTAGTTCTATAAATTTGTCAAATATTTTTTTGAAAAACCTTCTGTATAAAAGTTGATGCATTTTAAAAATTACTGTTTGCTACGCAAATCAATTAATTGGATTTTATAACCGGCCGGGTCAAATTTTTAAATTTTTTTTTTTTATGTTTTAATAACCGTTGGGTTTTTAAAAAATTTTATGTCATGAAAATCAAGACATTAAATTTGTATGGCCTAATTACTGTATAGTTCAAATTTTGTTCATTATAAGTCCTACAATTTTTCAAATAGCTCTTAAAGATATTGCATCTATATAAAGTTGAGGCTCCCAACACCATATAAAACATAATTGATTGAACTATCAGTCGATTACAGTATAACCTCGATATAACGAAGCTCTGGAGCTGGAGGTTTTCTTCGTTATATCAAATCTTTATTAGTAATTTCGTTATATCGGGGCTAATTTAAACACAAATCGTTATATCGAGGTTCGTTAGATTGAGGTTATACTGTAATTAATGCTAATACAAAGTTTAAATCTTTAAGAACCAGAAAGCATATTTTACAATAAATGATAAAAATCTGCACTTAGAATACTTCAGGACTGATAATTTTCTGCAATATTTTATTTATCTTTAAAATAAATATTCATTTAAAGGGAATTTATATACAGTATTACATAGTTGACTTTTGATAAACCTACTCTACAATGAACTTGTTTAAAGTATTTGCACTATAGAACGTGTGTTTAGAAAGTAGTTTATTTTGTTTCACGAGAAAAAATGACTTTCTCAAAGTCCTAATTAATAAATACAGTCAACTCTTCTAATGAATTGACGGCAGAAAATTTTTTTAAAGTTCCTTGTAATCTACTATATTTCTATATCGAGCTCTAATAAATTTTTTTAAAAAAGTTCGTTATAAAGGTTTGTCATGCCCAGAGTTGACTGTATATATCGTATATAATGTGATGAGTACATATCAAAACAATACTTGGAGCATGTATATTATATATACTCTAAACGTGTTTTGCTATATACTCACCCATGTATATATTATACTCTTTTTAACAGATATTTATTTATTCATTAAGGAAAATAACAAAGTTGCTATACATATAAAGATATACAACATTGTATAAATAAGATAATACCATCTTTTCTTGTAGATAGGAATTAAAGGGTATATTACTACCAATAAATTCGAATTTTATCAATAATTCTACGTGTTCACCTTATAGCCCCTTTTAATGCAGCTTCCATGATGTTTAAGTTACTGTTTTCTTGTTTATCATATTACATAAGGACCTTAAATTTCGCAAAGTTTTCATATATATAGTATTAAAAACATTTGTTTCCTCTTTTATATGATCTTAAGTTTGAATGCATGCATGTATATGTAATACAACTTCCAAATATCAAATTATCTAAGGTCCTCATTGTTAAAACTTTACAAACCTTTATTATATTTTTATTCTTCTGCATCCTCAAACATCTCCTTATCGTGTTCATTAGTGTCTGGGGATGTTCTTTGTTGTTCTGTCAGATTTGGTTGATCAATAATAGAATCCAAATACGCTAGTGATGCCTTTTAAATGTGAAAATCGTTTAAGATTAAAAAAAAAAAAAGGCCAACCAAACTTTTTATTTCATATCAATAAAAGAAGGAAATTAATGATGTGTCTATTTACACTTCCAACTTCACTTAGTTCTTGTTCGTCACTTGGTGCGGCAGTGATCCATTCGTCATTATCTCCATTGCCATAAAATTCACTATCTGGATCCTCTTCCATATATTCTTTGTCAGGATGCAATGCGGCGCACTCAGATAAAGCTTCAAAAATTGCATCAACTAGATTCCAATATTTCAACATAAACACTTAAATATATGCTTATTAACAGCATTTTCTAATAAACTGAAACTTACGAGAACTAGTATCATCAGGAATGAATTTCATTTCTGTCATTTCATCTCTATCATCGTCCCCAGTCTGATTTTCAGTACTTTGATTAGCACTCCTTAAACTATTGGGTTCAATATCCAACTGTGTATAGATACATGGCCCTGTGCCATCTAATGGTTGCCTCGAGATTGCATGCATTATTATTGTTGGGTAATCAATCGCTAATCCAGTGTTTGTATCCCGAGAAAAAAAATACAATTTGCTTCAAGTATATTATAGACGTGAATGTTAATAATAATCTTTTTTTTATTGCTCTTTAACTTTTTCGTTAGAGTACCTTTCGGTTACATATAAAGTTCCTTTCCCAAGCATAGCGTCAAACATAGGGGGAGTGATTAATATGCGAACATTTGGTTGAACATGATGAGCAATTTCTGGCATGAGTCCAGAATCTTGTAATTGAATTGTCTGTTCGGGCGTTACGACCGCCGGTGGCGTGGAGATCAAAGTTACAGTCATAATATAAAATGTTCTAACAATCATCAAATGTTGTAAAGAACAGTACGTTGAGTGATTAAATAATATATTGTAGCATCAAAATTTTTTATAAGATTGTACATAATAAGATCCTATATAGACAATATTTTATAAAAAATCTTTATTTGACTTATTTTACACATTTATTCTAAATCGCTCAAACGATATTCTTTTTTAACCATAAATTTGCGGTTCCAATTTGAATTCTTTTAAAGATCATTAAGAAATTATTTCAAAGTTGATCTGACAGTTATACATACAAATTAGACTAAAACGACCGAGATACGTGAGACTTGGATAAGAAAATTTGAGTAACTGATGGACACGACATCGATATTATATGATTTGTAATGTAATACAGTACGTTAAAATTAGTCACAAAATGACGTGTAAGCTAGCTGAATTTAGTGGGCAAAATTAAGAAGTCACATCACGTGATACAAATCAATATTACTATATTTCAAATTTTTGGAACGTTAGTATTTCATTTCGTTACTTTTGATACTTTTGTATACTTTTGTATACCTATAATTATCCGTTCATAAACGTATTAAGCCTTCATTATACAAAGCTTCCTGAAAACGTTCTTTATAAAGGTATACGTCTTTGGTTTTTTCTTTTGCTAATTTATACAATCGAACCGTGATAAAGACGAGCAGTCTGTTGTGTGTTTTCTAGTGTGTATTTGTGAAAGAAAGAACATTATGTGACATCGCGTCTAAACTATCATTTATTATTATCGTTTTAATTTTGACATTTATTTCATTTATTTGACATTTATTTATATGTTTTTCTATCTTTGATTTGTTTACTAGACAGAAATTCGAGTTTTGCTGACGAAAATATAAGGTAAAAAGATAACTAATTTCTTTACAGAATAAATGCTATCCATAACAAATCCCATAAATTTTTTGCATGATTGTCAGTTTTAAAACTCGTTTTTGATGGCCGTTTTTAGCACTATGCTAATTTCGTTTCTTTCTATTTCGTGTTCACTTATTAACGGCCAATGTTCTCAAACTTTATCAATTTTATCAATTTGTTTCTTGAAGACGAAAATCATGACCGATGATATTAACATGAGATTTGTTACAGCTTTGAGAGACATCGATTCAGATAAACGCAAGAAACTCGCTTTACAACAAGCGTGGAAGACATACAGTCATACAACAAATCCGGAATCATCATTCAGTTTTATTGCACAGATGGCAGAATGTACTACAGCAGAAGTAAGGCAATATTTTATAGGACAGGTACACTTTATGTGAAAAGTTTCAAGGGTTTTAGTAGACAATTCACTTTATCATTTTTTTTTCTTTATTGCTTTAGCGGCGTTCTATTAACGTGGAACAGCCACCTTCTCCTGCTTCAACTTTATCACCACCTCCAAGTACATCAAGCGATCTTACAGAACTTTCTGAAAATTTTGCTTCGGCAGCAACACCAGATGGACTGTCTCACACTGATTTACAACAGTCACAAACAAATGAAGGTTTTTTTTCTTTTTTTTTTTATAATTTATAAAAAAATACATATATATGTGAGTGTCGCTAAAAGAAAACCCGAAAATTTAAATATAATTCATAT